ATGCTTTGGATATTATGTGGATGGTTTCGTCAACAGGTATGTTGGTAAATAGGATACGACATCAAAACTAGCAAGGACAACATTACTGGAGTTGATATCGCAGTTTAGGATTTCTTCAACAAACGAGAAGAGTCTTTGATGATGAGGTTGCTTATAGTGAAGGGTTTTAGGGTGGGATGAGAAGCTTTGCTAGATTATACGAATAGTGATTAATGGAGGAAAGAATGGGTCTGAGAGGGTTTAGGAAGGCCATATAATATACCTATTCGTGAACCAGTAGGGTAAAGTTCTTTGTACGTTTCTTGCCGATAGATTTGGCATCTTTCAACTTTTAATAAAGATTTCACTTGATTTTCTCGTTGTAAAGTGACTTTGACTGGATCTCCATTAAGAGCTTGAAACTTTGTAGTGTCAGATAAGAGTGTCCATTTTCTTTGTGTAGTCGTCTTTGTTAAGTATAACGATGCCATTTCCTTTGTCAGGTTTAGTGATAGGATAGTTCTGTCGTTTTAAATTATTTAAAATGTTCAAGTCTTCTGTGAATATAGAAAAGGTGGTGGGCTGTAACTGGAAACCTGAGTGAGCAATGTCTTTTAATTTGCATTTGATCGAGTCTGGAAAAATCCTGATGATTCATTAACAGGTTCTCGTTTGAGACGGTTGTAGAGTTTTCAAAGGGTGTTAAGAAGGTGCAAATGTTTAACTTTTCGGTGGATGGAAAAGTTTAAGCCTTGAAAGGATTTCTTTCTCTCTGTCAGTAATGAGGCGGTTTGAGAGTTGAACACCACTTTATCAGGGTCGATTGGGATGTTGTTGTCATGTTTGGAAGTGAGACGGAAAAGTTGCGATCTGGATATGTTGATGTTGCGTTAGTTTTCTTGAATTTTCACGATCGGAGCATTCTTAAGTGTATAAAGTCAATTTGGAGATTAGTAACGCCAGGTTGGAGTGTGCTTGTGTTATGTGCTGAGAGGACGCGTATACGACGTGTTTCCTGTTTATTTCTTCTTGAAGGAGTTTATTTTGGCATTGGCGATAAGCGCAGAGTTTGTAAGCGACGATTTGCACTGAACCACAGGATCTTGGTATCACAAGCGCTTTCTGCATGTCGTAAGAAAAGTCGAGTTTTGCTTTCTATCGGTTCAAGTCGTTGGAATTTTCTAAATGCTTCGAGTGCTCCATTATAGCGATGATTTAAAATTGTAGCGAGACTTGCCGAGCGGAAATCGAATACGTGTGATAAAATTAATGCCCAACATAAAGTTCTGATTGTTTCACAGAAATAGACCGAAAAAAAATTGTAAAATTGAAATTTATTGTGACGTTTCGTCTTGAGTAAAGACGAAACGTCACAATAAATTTCTATTTCTATGGCTCTAATCAGAACTTTATGTTGGGCATTAATTTTTATCACACGTATTCGATTTCCGCTCGGCAAGTCTCTCGCTACAATTTTAAATCATCGCTATAATAATGGAGCACTCGAAGCATTTAGAAAATTCCAACGACTTGAACTCAAGCTAGGAAAAGCAAAACTCGACTTGGATTTTCTTACGACATGCAGAAAGCGCTCTGTGATACCAAGATTCCTGTGGTTCAAAGTAGCTAGTCGTCGCTTACAAAACTCTAGCGCTTATCGCCAATGCCAAAATAAACTCCTTCAAGAAGAAATAAACGGGAAACACGCTCGTATACGCGTCCTCTCAGCACAATTAACACAAGCACACTCCAACCTGGCGTTACTAATCTCCAAAATTGACTTTATACACCTTAAGAATGTCTCCGATCGTGAAAATTCAAGAAAACTAACGCAACATCAACATATCCAAGATCGCAAACTTTTCCGTCTCACTTCCAAACATGACAACAACATCCCAATCGACCCTGATAAAGTGGTGTTCAACTTCTCAAACCGCCTCATTACTGACAGAGAGAAAGAAATCCTTTCAAAAGGCTTAAACTTTTCCATCCCACCGAAAAAGTTAAACATTTGCACCTTCTTAACACCCTTTGAAAAACTCTACAACCGTCTCAAACGAGAACCTGTTAATGAATCATCAGGATTTTTTCCAGACTCGATCAAATGCAAATTAAAAGACATTGCTCACTCAGGTTTCCGAAGTTACAGCCCACCACCTTTTCTATATTCACAAGAAGACTTGAACATTTTAAATAATTTAAAAAACGACAGAACTATCCTCATCACTAAACCTGACAAAGGAAATGGCATCGTTATACTTAACAAAGACGACTACACAAAGAAAATGGACACACTCTTATCTGACACTACAAAGTTTCAAGCTCTTAATGGAGATCCAGTCAAAGTCACTTTACAACGAGAAAATCAAGTGAAATCTTTATTAAAAAAGTTGAAAGATGCCAAATCTATCGGGCAAGAAACGTACAAAGAACTTTACCCTACTGGTTCACGAATAGGTATATTATATGGCCTTCCTAAAATACATAAATGTAACATCCCTCTCAGACCCATTCTTTCCTCCATTAATCACTATTCGTATAATCTAGCAAAGTTTCTCATCCCACTCCTAAAACCCTTCACTATAAGCAACCTCATCATCAAAGACTCTTTCTCGTTTGTTGAAGAAATCCTAAACTGCGATATCAACTCCAGTAATGTTGTCCTTGCTAGTTTTGATGTCGTATCCCTATTTACCAACATACCTGTTGACGAAACCATCCACATAATATCCAAAAGCATTTTTAACAACCACCAGTACTTCAACGGACTCACTGCAACAGAATTTGAAAAACTACTCTCTCTAGCTGTTAAGAACTGTCACTTTATCTTTAACGGGAAAATGTATCAGCAAATTGATGGTGTGGCTATGGGCAGTCCATTGGGCCCTCTCTTTGCTGATATATTCATGTCCTTTCACGAAAAATCCTGGCTTAATAATTGTCCCTCTTCATTCAAACCACTACTTTACCGACGCTAAATTGACGACTGTTTTTTACTTTTTCATTCCCCCGATCACGTCCCTCTCTTTCTTGACTACCTGAACCGACAACACCCTAACATCACATTCACATCTGAAGTCGAACAAAACAGAAAGCTCTCATTTCTTGACATTGATATCTCTCGTACTAATGGAAAATTCACCACTTCCGTCTACCGCAAACCTTCTTTCACTGGCCTCTTCACTAACTTCCACAGCTTCATCCCACTTACTTACAAACTTTCATTAGTCTCCTGCTTACTTCACCGCATCTTCAATCTTTGCTCTACTTACGAAAATTTTCATACACAACTCGAATTTACCAGAAAGTCACTCACCAAAAACGGTTTTCCTTCACGTATAATTGACCAAATCACACGTCGCTTCCTTAACAACACCTTTGCCCCTAAACCACCTGTCTTGACTGCTCACAAAATGCCCATCTATTTCTGTCTTCCTTTCACCGGCATACACTCCCTTCAAATTCGCACACAAATCAATAACCTTTGTGCTGCAGCCTTCCCACATATATCCATTAAATTTGTTTTCCGCCCTTCTCAACGCATCTCTTCTTTCTTCCCCTTTAAGGACAAAATTCCCAAACCTCTGAGATCTGGTGTAGTCTATTTATTCAAGTGTCGAAGCTGCAACGCTTCGTATGTGGGTCAAACCACACGTCATCTACACACCAGATTTTCGGAGCACTTGGGAATATCCCCCCTTACAGGCAACCAAGTTTCCCACCCAGCATCATCAAGCATTCTTGCTCACATTAACGAAACTGGACACACCCCCAACTTAGACGACTTTAAAATAATTTCCTCTTCCAACGATACTTATGAACTCTCCATCCATGAAAGCCTTCTAATCAATAAACACAAGCCTTCACTTAATGTGCAAGGAAACTCCATTCCACTTAACCTCTTTTAATTTCTCTTCATCTCACCTCCAAACTTCCTTATCATGTATCCATTCGACACCGTTTCCGTTAGTAGTAATTTAACACCTTTTTGTAAATATAATATCTTGTCTTAACGTCCTATCTATTATTTTGTCTGAAGATGTCTTGAGTAAAGACGAAACGTCACAATAAATTTAAATTTTACAATTTGTTTTTTCTTTGGTCTATTTCTATGGCTCTAATCAGAACTTTATGTTGGGCATTAATTTTTATCACACGTATGTCTACTTTTAATTTAGCCTGTATGTCATTTTTTAACTGGTATTTCCCTTTATTGCACTGGTGTTTCCCAATCAAAATTGAGAAGGTTTTCATGAATATATTTGACATATCAAATAACTTATTAAAGTAAATTTCAGCCGCAAGCAATTAATATCGCCACGGCTCATATTTTTTAGTTTTTTCGGATATATTTGTTACAACACCACAGCTTCTACACAAGCAACAAGATATCTTCTTATATCAGTGTTTGTAGTTTTGGCCAGAATGTTTCGAGAATCCCGAACTGTAAACACAGTTTCAAAAAATATCAACTAAAAATTCACGCCAGCTTTTGTTATTGCACTTGTTTATAATTATCTTACTTGCCAGCATTAGCAATGTTTCATTTCATTGGCTCTCGTATTACTTGGTTGTTTGACTAACTTACCAAGAGCACTTTTTAAAAAGAAGTTTTTACTCTATTTCCTTTTTTCTTTGGTACCTACGCGATAAATTACACTGCTCTCAACTAATCAGAACTGACAAATTTTTTCATGCATATTTTTATGATAATGAACAATAAATAACTATTAAATAACAATATTTTTAATTGAATAAACTTTTTATTTCATGTAATTACACATATCAAGGTAACATTGCTTTTTTTATATAAAATCTCGATGGCCTTTTTTTTGTATTTTTTATAATCGTTTCTGTAAATTCTATCTCCTTGAGCTAATTTTGTAAAAACTCGAACCAGAACTCATTCCAAAGCTCTCATCTAGAGAGGAAAGTTCATCTCCATAGCATATAAAATCTTAATTATAATTAAACGGTTGAAAATGATACGAGATTTTATTGGGGAGATTAGAATAGAAGCTCAGTGGAAAGCTCTTGTCAAGAGGTTTCGAGTAGTTTAAACATCATCTTTATAGCACTTATATTTTGGAGATAACTGATGACGTTTAAATCTGATGCGATGCTAAAATGCTCAATTTCATTTTATATCCTCGGGCTATTGTCATAAAAAGTCAAATCAGAACTCATTCAAAAGCTCTTGAAAAGAGCCCAAATAGTGCAAAGTTCTCTTTCATCTTAAAATAATAACGGTTTAATCTGATGAACAAATCTAACCCATGAACTTAAAGGCACTGAATAAGACGCCAACATCTACGTTTAAACTGTATGTTGACTTTTTTCTCGTCGTTTTTTTGAGTAAATCTTAAAATATTGGTTACTGGAATATAAAGGCTATAATGAGATTTTTATATTCTGTTTTATTCATCGCATACAAATGAAGTGTTTGTACTAGTGAATATATTTGCTTAGCTGTCAACTTGTGTCAAAATAGAAAAGACAAATTTGAAATTATCACAATATGATTGAGCAACTTGCAGTATATTAAAAGTAACACATTAAGATAATTTTGCAAATATTATTATTAAGTGCACGCTGTAATAAATAACGAATAGTGCTATGTTATTACTAAGCTATGGATTGCATGACTAATTTCAACGACAATGATATAGACATATTTCAAATTCTCAAAAAGATGATGCCAATATTGCAGCGTGTTAACAGCTAGAAAAGTACCATCACTCAGATGTTGAGGGAATTTGTGTTTTCTACAACGCTTTCTAATGATTACAAACTGATATGCTTTTGGTAAGCTTTTAATTTGCTCCACGAATTTGGACAAAATAATATTAAAAAATAGTTAACATTAAAACAAACGATCATCAAATTGAGATAATACTAAAAACATTATATAGCAACATTATCAATATACTAAAGAAGAAGAAGGTGATAATATTATTTTTAAAATTATTAAATGGAATACGCACTGTAGTAATTATCTAAAAATGCTATGTCTTTGCTTACCATTAGTTTTGCTCCACTAATTTGGGCGAAAATAATAATATAAAAGCATATTTATCATTCTCAAAACACTATTTCTAAAACTATGCACACATTAGCTAATTGTAAAAATTTCAATCTTTGATGACTATACCAGTCCTTCTGATGTATTTTGTGCACACATTCAGCTGTCAGAAATCATTCCTTTTTTTGTTAGAAGTTATGGTAAATTTCAAGAAGCAGAAAAGCTTGTGTACTTGTGACAAAGACGTGAAAATATGCACGGAGCTTTCAAAAATTTTACGCGTCCCTAATCAAAAGACATTTAAATTATAATAATAGCTTCATTTTGAAAATAATTTACCATCATTATTCATGGTTTATTCCCTGTTGAATGTTTTCCAAGTAAAGATTGATTTACTGCTTCCAATGAATAGAATCGAAATGAGCACACTTCAAGAAATTTTGATTTTATGTTATCTTTTCTTCAATTTTACTCAAGTTTTATCATCTGGAATAGAGCTTAAAAACTTTTATCCTTACGGAATTCATAATGGAGATACGCTTGTACCAACCAATGATGACGGAAGCTCCGGTCGTGTTGACATCTCATCTCCTTTTCCTTTCTTCGACCAAAATCACAACTCCTTGTTTGTGAGTATGTTAGCTTTTATAGCCATTTAAAATTAATCTGACTTGTTTACGTATACCTTGTGAAAAATGACAATTCTTCTTTATCTTTGACAAAATATTTCTCAGTCTTGCTATAAGCTTTATGACTTTCACTTTCACTAGAATGTACAATCGATAAAATAAAAGCAAAAATAAGTACTTAGGTGAACCATAGGATAGGTGGGCAATGTTAACCAAATCATTCACGAGGCAATTCTTACACAGTTTGTTTGACAACTAGCTAATTTATCTAAAATTATAGACTTCATTGCTGCAAGAAAACATAGGTTACTTCTCTTTCACACACAATTTTTCGGGCTTTCTAGTGAAAACGGATTGGATAATGCAACAAAAATCTACGTAATTAATCTGTGAAGAGAGTGTATAGCTCTATTGGTTTGAGAGCTTACATGTCTAAAATTTTTATAGTTCTAGAAATATTTGTTTTTCAAGAGTATGTCGTTTGTCAAGAATCAGAGCAGGCATGAATTATTCGCAAACGTAAAGAATTCTTTCTGTTGTTATTTTGAGAAAATCAGGCTTAACTCTTTCGCGACACGGAAAAATCCGGCAATTTTAATATAATTTATTAATTTCCGAAAGTCATTGTTTCGTCAGAAATATCTCATAACATGCTTTAGTATTAGACAAAAATTTTACACCATTAAATAGCCTACATTGCATACTTTCCACCCATATAAATTTTATCACCTGAAACTATTTTATAACGATTAAAACCGCTCTTTCTATGCCATCAACATTATGCGTATATGATAAGGCAATAAAACACTTATACCAAGTTTATCGGAGTTTTATTAATTAAATGTTTTATATAAGGAAAAACTGAGTAAACCATAGTATATTTCACGCAATTTTCTATAGGTAGGTAAAATTTTAGCTTTTCACAATAAAAATTAGTGCTGTTTTGAGCAGTCAATAATAATTCCTTTTCGAATGTTTTCTAAACCGGAACGTAAGTTGCCATGGCGATATATTTAAATATAAATATATCTATAATATATTATTATAATATATCTATAATAAATATATCTGAACTAAATATAAATGGAAGGCTACCTTCGCATATTTCTGCAACACACGAAATGAATCCAAATTTTTGCAATATCACGCGAGTTCAGCCTCACGATGCGTGATTGTAAACAAACTGAACAAGGTAATAAACAACATGTTTATAACGGGAAATTTGGCAAAGCTACAGAGAAGAAAATTGTCGGATTTTTCCTGTTCTATAGCCTTGTCTTGTGTTATCAATATAGGAAATCTAAGTTTCTTGCCGAACAAATAGTTTTTTACACATGAAACTTCCAAATGGCAAAGGTTGTGCTCGGATTCATTCTGGCCCGAGTAAAAATTAAGAAGATATGTTTTTCGTAAATAGCATTTTAAAACATAGATTTGTTTGCGCTCAGGTGCTCTTTGATTGTGTTTTTACGTCAGTCTCATAAGAGGTTAATCATTTTTTAAAAAAATGTCAACATAACAATGCAGCTTTACAAAATGTCTGTCGAGGAATCCGCTCCTCAGCTGGTTCACTAACACTCTTCGTTTTGAGCCATTTATTTTACAAGCTAAACAAGCTACAAGTACATCACTGGAGTATTTTTACTCTATCTATTAGAGTTAATTTTTACATGTATTTATACTAACGGTAATTACAACAAAACATAATGTTTCAAGTTCTCACGCGTTGCAACAAAAAAGAACTAACTAAACAAACAAAGAACTTACAAAACGTACTTAAAGCCCGGCGCACACGAGAGCTATGTGCTCAGCAAAATATCATTTGTGCCAAGTGGCGTAAGCAAGTTGTTCTTGTGTGTGCGTGCTGTTTCCGACGACTTTTGCCATTCCAGGCAGGACTGGCAAATATCTAACATGTTTGTTATTTTTTTCCACGCGTGGGAAAAAAGCTCTGTCCATTTGTCCGTGTGCGGCGTCTTGTAGCAAAGTGCTTTTGTGTTTCAAATACAATGCATGCTCAATAAATTTCATTTGAAACCAAAATATTGGCCCTGATTGAACAACATGATTCAGTCGAAGGTGAAATTTTAGATGATAAACTTTAAATGATAAACTTTAGATGATAAACTATAGCCTTCGATCAGCAGATTTAAACGGAGAGAAAAGAGAGTCTGCTTTTGAGGAAATAAAAAATCATCCATGTTTTACAACAAGAAGCTCAAAGTAAATGTATGTGTCTACGGAGAATTAGGAACAGGCATACAAGTGCTACTTCGTCTCCTTCTTCAGAACCATAAATTGACGCAGAATTTAACTCATTTAGCTGAGCAAGCCGCTATTTGTGTTTTCTACAACACTTTCTTATGATTACAAACTGATATGCTTTTGGTAAGCTTTTAATTTGCTCCACGAATTTGGACAAAATAATATTAAAAAATACTTAAAATTAAAACAAACGATCATCAAATTGAGATAATACTAAAAACATTATATAGCAACATTATCAATATTCTAAAAGAAGAAGAAGGTGATAATGTTATTTTTAAAATTATTAAATGGAATACGCACTGTAGTAATTATCTAAGAATACTATGTCTTTGCTTACCATTAGTTTCGCTCCACTAATTTGGGCGAAAATAATAATATAAAAGCATATTTATCATTCTCAAAACACTATTTCTAAAACTATGCACACATTAGCTAATTGTAAAAATTTCAATCTTTGATGACTATACCAGTCCTTCTGGTGCATTTTTGTGCACACATTCAGCTGTCAGAAATCATTCCTTTTTTTGTTAGAAGTTATGGTAAATTTCAAGAAGCAGAAAAGCTTGTGTACTTGTGACAAAGACGTGAAAATATGCACGGAGCTCTCAAAAATTTTACGCGTCCCTAATCAAAAGACATTTAAATTATAATAATAGTTTCATTTTGAAAATAATTTACCATCATTATTTATGGTTTATTCCCTGTTGAATGTTTTCCAAGTAAAGATTGATTTACTGCTTCCAATGAATAGAATCGAAATGAGCACACTTCAAGAAATTTTGATTTTATGTTATCTTTTCTTCAATTTTACTCAAGTTTTATCATCTGGAATAGAGCTTAAAAACTTTTATCCTTACGGAATTGATAATGGAGATACGCTTGTACCAACCAATGATGACGGAAGCTCCGGTCGTGTTGACATCTCATCTCCTTTTCCTTTCTTCGACCAAAATCACAACTCCTTGTTTGTGAGTATGTTAGCTTTTATAGCCATTTAAAATTAATCTGACTTGTTTACGTATACCTTGTGAAAAATGACAATTCTTCTTTATCTTTGACAAAATATTTCTCAGTCTTGCTATAAGCTTTATGACTTTCACTTTCACTAGAATGTACAATCGATAAAATAAAAGGAAAAATAAGTACTTAGGTGAACCATAGGATAGGTGTGCAATGTTAACCAAATCATTCACGAGGCAATTCTTACACAGTTTGTTTGACAACTAGCTAATTTATCTAAAATTATAGACTTCATTGCTGCAAGAAAACATAGGTTACTTCTCTTTCACACACAATTTTTCGGGCTTTCTAGTGAAAACGGATTGGATAATGCAACAAAAATCTACGTAATTAATCTGTGAAGAGAGTGTATAGCTCCTATTGGTTTGAGAGCTTACATGTCTAAAATTTTTATAGTTCTAGAAATATTTGTTTTTCAAGAGTATGTCGTTTGTCAAGAATCAGAGCAGGCATGAATTATTCGCAAACGTAAAGAATTCTTTCTGTTGTTATTTTGAGAAAATCAGGCTTAACTCTTTCGCGACACGGAAAAATCCGGCAATTTTAATATAATTTATTAATTTCCGAAAGTCATTGTTTCGTCAGAAATATCTCATAACATGCTTTAGTATTAGACAAAAATTTTACACCATTAAATAGCCTACATTGCATACTTTCCACCCATATAAATTTTATCACCTGAAACTATTTTATAACGATTAAAACCGCTCTTTCTATGCCATCAACATTATGCGTATATGATAAGGCAATAAAACACTTATACCAAGTTTATCGGAGTTTTATTAATTAAATGTTTTATATAAGGAAAAACTGAGTAAACCATAGTATATTTCACGCAATTTTCTATAGGTAGGTAAAATTTTAGCTTTTCACAATAAAAATTAGTGCTGTTTTGAGCAGTCAATAATAATTCCTTTTCGAATGTTTTCTAAACCGGAACGTAAGTTGCCATGGCGATATATTTAAATATAAATATATCTATAATATATTATTATAATATATCTATAATAAATATATCTGAACTAAATATAAATGGAAGGCTACCTTCGCATATTTCTGCAACACACGAAATGAATCCAAATTTTTGCAATATCACGCGAGTTCAGCCTCACGATGCGTGATTGTAAACAAACTGAACAAGGTAATAAACAACATGTTTATAACGGGAAATTTGGCAAAGCTACAGAGAAGAAAATTGTCGGATTTTTCCTGTTCTATAGCCTTGTCTTGTGTTATCAATATAGGAAATCTAAGTTTCTTGCCGAACAAATAGTTTTTTACACATGAAACTTCCAAATGGCAAAGGATTGTGCTCGGATTCATTCTGGCCCGAGTAAAAATTAAGAAGATATGTTTTTCGTAAATAGCATTTTAAAACATAGATTTGTTTGCGCTCAGGTGCTCTTTGATTGTGTTTTTACGTCAGTCTCATAAGAGGTTAATCATTTTTTAAAAAAATGTCAACATAACAATGCAGCTTTACAAAATGTCTGTCGAGGAATCCGCTCCTCAGCTGGTTCACTAACACTCTTCGTTTTGAGCCATTTATTTTACAAGCTAAACAAGCTACAAGTACATCACTGGAGTATTTTTACTCTATCTATTAGAGTTAATTTTTACATGTATTTATACTAACGGTAATTACAACAAAACATAACGTTTCAAGTTCTCACGCGTTGCAACAAAAAAGAACTAACTAAACAAACAAAGAACTTACAAAACGTACTTAAAGCCCGGCGCACACGAGAGCTATGTGCTCAGCAAAATATCATTTGTGCCAAGTGGCGTAAGCAAGTTGTTCTTGTGTGTGCGTGCTGTTTCCGACGACTTTTGCCATTCCAGGCAGGACTGGCAAATATCTAACATGTTTGTTATTTTTTCCACGCGTGGGAAAAAGCTCTGTCCATTTGTCCGTGTGCGGCGTCTTGTAGCAAAGTGCTTTTGTGTTTCAAATACAATGCATGCTCAATAAATTTCATTTGAAACCAAAATATTGGCCCTGATTGAACAACATGATTCAGTCGAAGGTGAAATTTTAGATGATAAACTTTAAATGATAAACTTTAGATGATAAACTATAGCCTTCGATCAGCAGATTTAAACGGAGAGAAAAGAGAGTCTGCTTTTGAGGAAATAAAAAATCATCCATGTTTTACAACAAGAAGCTCAAAGTAAATGTATGTGTCTACGGAGAATTAGGAACAGGCATACAAGTGCTACTTCGTCTCCTTCTTCAGAACCATAAATTGACGCAGAATTTAACTCATTTAGCTGAGCAAGCCGCTATTTGTGTTTTCTACAACACTTTCTTATGATTACAAACTGATATGCTTTTGGTAAGCTTTTAATTTGCTCCACGAATTTGGACAAAATAATATTAAAAAATACTTAAAATTAAAACAAACGATCATCAAATTGAGATAATACTAAAAACATTATATAGCAACATTATCAATATTCTAAAAGAAGAAGAAGGTGATAATGTTATTTTTAAAATTATTAAATGGAATACGCACTGTAGTAATTATCTAAGAATACTATGTCTTTGCTTACCATTAGTTTCGCTCCACTAATTTGGGCGAAAATAATAATATAAAAGCATATTTATCATTCTCAAAACACTATTTCTAAAACTATGCACACATTAGCTAATTGTAAAAATTTCAATCTTTGATGACTATACCAGTCCTTCTGGTGCATTTTTGTGCACACATTCAGCTGTCAGAAATCATTCCTTTTTTTGTTAGAAGTTATGGTAAATTTCAAGAAGCAGAAAAGCTTGTGTACTTGTGACAAAGACGTGAAAATATGCACGGAGCTCTCAAAAATTTTACGCGTCCCTAATCAAAAGACATTTAAATTATAATAATAGTTTCATTTTGAAAATAATTTACCATCATTATTTATGGTTTATTCCTGTTGAATGTTTTCCAAGTAAAGATTGATTTACTGCTTCCAATGAATAGAATCGAAATGAGCACACTTCAAGAAATTTTGATTTTATGTTATCTTTTCTTCAATTTTACTCAAGTTTTATCATCTGGAATAGAGCTTAAAAACTTTTATCCTTACGGAATTGATAATGGAGATACGCTTGTACCAACCAATGATGACGGAAGCTCCGGTCGTGTTGACATCTCATCTCCTTTTCCTTTCTTCGACCAAAATCACAACTCCTTGTTTGTGAGTATGTTAGCTTTTATAGCCATTTAAAATTAATCTGACTTGTTTACGTATACCTTGTGAAAAATGACAATTCTTCTTTATCTTTGACAAAATATTTCTCAGTCTTGCTATAAGCTTTATGACTTTCACTTTCACTAGAATGTACAATCGATAAAATAAAAGGAAAAATAAGTACTTAGGTGAACCATAGGATAGGTGTGCAATGTTAACCAAATCATTCACGAGGCAATTCTTACACAGTTTGTTTGACAACTAGCTAATTTATCTAAAATTATAGACTTCATTGCTGCAAGAAAACATAGGTTACTTCTCTTTCACACACAATTTTTCGGGCTTTCTAGTGAAAACGGATTGGATAATGCAACAAAAATCTACGTAATTAATCTGTGAAGAGAGTGTATAGCTCCTATTGGTTTGAGAGCTTACATGTCTAAAAATTTTTATAGTTCTAGAAATATTTGTTTTTCAAGAGTATGTCGTTTGTCAAGAATCAGAGCAGGCATGAATTATTCGCAAACGTAAAGAATTCTTTCTGTTGTTATTTTGAGAAAATCAGGCTTAACTCTTTCGCGACACGGAAAAATCCGGCAATTTTAATATAATTTATTAATTTCCGAAAGTCATTGTTTCGTCAGAAATATCTCATAACATGCTTTAGTATTAGACAAAAATTTTACACCATTAAATAGCCTACATTGCATACTTTCCACCCATATAAATTTTATCACCTGAAACTATTTTATAACGATTAAAACCGCTCTTTCTATGCCATCAACATTATGCGTATATGATAAGGCAATAAAACACTTATACCAAGTTTATCGGAGTTTTATTAATTAAATGTTTTATATAAGGAAAAACTGAGTAAACCATAGTATATTTCACGCAATTTTCTATAGGTAGGTAAAATTTTAGCTTTTCACAATAAAAATTAGTGCTGTTTTGAGCAGTCAATAATAATTCCTTTTCGAATGTTTTTTTAAACCGGAACGTAAGTTGCCATGGCGATATATTTAAATATAAATATATCTATAATATATTATTATAATATATCTATAATAAATATATCTGAACTAAATATAAATGGAAGGCTACCTTCGCATATTTCTGCAACACACGAAATGAATCCAAATTTTTGCAATATCACGCGAGTTCAGCCTCACGATGCGTGATTGTAAACAAACTGAACAAGGTAATAAACAACATGTTTATAACGGGAAATTTGGCAAAGCTACAGAGAAGAAAATTGTCGGATTTTTCCTGTTCTATAGCCTTGTCTTGTGTTATTAATATAGGAAATCTAAGTTTCTTGCCGAACAAATAGTTTTTTACACATGAAACTTCCAAATGGCAAAGGATTGTGCTCGGATTCATTCTGGCCCGAGTAAAAATTAAGAAGATATGTTTTTCGTAAATAGCATTTTAAAACATAGATTTGTTTGCACTCAGGTGCTCTTTGATTGTGTTTTTACGTCAGTCTCATAAGAGGTTAATCATTTTTTTAAAAAATGTCAACATAACAATGCAGCTTTACAAAATGTCTGTCGAGGAATCCGCTCCTCAGCTGGTTCACTAATACTCTTCGTTTTGAGCCATTTATTTTACAAGCTAAACAAGCTACAAGTACATCACTGGAGTATTTTTACTCTATCTATTAGAGTTAATTTTTACATGTATTTATACTAACGGTAATTACAACAAAACATAACGTTTCAAGTTCTCACGCATTGCAACAAAAAAGAACTAACTAAACAAACAAAGAACTTACAAAACGTACTTAAAGCCCGGCGCACACGAGAGCTATGTGCTCAGCAAAATGTCATTTGTGCCAAGTGGCGTAAGCAAGTTGTTCTTGTGTGTGCGTGCTGTTTCCGACGACTTTTGCCATTCCAGGCAGGACTGGCAAATATCTAACATGTTTGTTATTTTTTTCCACGCGTGGCAAAAATGCTCTGTCGATTTGTCCGTGTGCGGCGTCTTGTAGCAAAGTGCTTTTGTGTTTCAAATACAATGCATGCTCAATAAATTTCATTTGAAACCAAAATAGCGGCCCTGATTGAACAACATGATTCAGTCAAAGGTGCAATTTTAGATGATAAACTTTAAATGATAAACTTTAGATGATAAACTATAGCCTTCGATCAGCAGATTTAAACGGAGAGGAAAGAGAGTCTGCTTTTGAGGAAATAAAAAATCATCCATGTTTTACAACAAGAAGCTCAAAGTAAATGTATGTGTCTACGGAGAATTAGCAGCAGGCATACAAGTGCTACTTCGTCTCCTTCTTTAGAACCATAAATTGACGCAGAATTTAACTCATTCAGCTAAGGAAGCCTCTATTTTGGGTTTGATATGAAATTTATTGAGCATGCGCTGTATTGGAAACACAAAAGCAGTTTACTTCAAGACGCCGCACACGGACAAATCGACAAAGCATTTCGCCACGCGTAGAAAAAAATATCAAACATGTTAGATATTTGCCAGTCCTGCCAGGAAAGGCAAAAGTCGTCGGAAACAGCACGTGCACACTAGAGCAACTTGCTTACGCCTCTTTGCACGAGTGACATTTGCTAAGCACATAGCTCTCGTGTGCGCCGTTCTTAAAACAATAAATGTTAAAGGGAAACTAACATAGCTACGACAATTTTATTGCCAAGCTAAAAAGAATGCAATATCCCACACACACCCCTCCTTGAACATTTATGGTTCAAGCATTGCTGAGGTTTTCCACTTAGAGTCCAACGCTGCGGCTCGACGAGATCTTCGTGACCTTGCTTCCTCGCCAACCTGATTACATTCACCTTTACAAGTATTATCTTTTCATGTCTCAACCTCATTCAAACATTCTTCACTTTTTTCCAAAGGATACAGCTGTTGCAGTAGCCTGTTTAAAACCTTGATCGTCCCTTCTCAACCATTCCAACTGTTGCACCCTGAACGACCCCATCCTTACCCTTAACCAACCTCTCAATAACTGCTAACTTCCAAAACCCACGCATTAATCCTTCATCATAATCTAACACAACGTCTCCATCCTTTGCAATCGAACCTTTCACCTTACTCTTCCTTTTGTGAAACTCTTTTTAAATTCGTTAAATATTCTCTTCTCCATTGATTCCAAAATAAATTTCTCAACTTAATCATATATCTATAGCGTTTAGAATTTCGACGATGAAATCCAAACAATTACAGAACGAAAATTTAATGATCAAAAAAATTGTAATCATTAAATTTGATAAATAATTTTAAAACTATATAAACATCAGTCGCGTGACTGATTTGACATAGCCTAGATCCGCCGCTGTTTACAATGCTCTCAAAGAGTGTGCAAATAATAGTGTTCATTGACATTAAATGCAAATATTTTACACAATCTGATCAAGACGTTTCGATAGGAGAATTGGAGTGAGTTAAAATGATAGTTTCTGTAAACTTCTAATTATATTTTGTTATTAACTTTTCACTATTAATGTTTTTATACTGTTTAGTCTGTGCTAAACAGTGGGGCACGAAAGCTCACTTTAATTTCAGTCAAATTAGCCAATGGGCACTGTGAAATAGTTTTGTTTCAATTACATTTAAAAACAATTTTAAGAATAAAATAGCAGATTGGGTTACAAAAATTTTTCTCTCTTGATTTGACATTCTTGTGAAGGTGGTTTTTATTTTTTATGGCTAATTAAAAAATTTAATGTCAATAAAATTTCTTAGCGACCTGTTCATCGTGAAGTATTTGGGATCTAGCACTTTTTTGGGAATGCTCTGAGAATTTGTTATATGAATCGATGTTATCATCGGAGCTATCTTCAAAATTCTCACTCTTTTCACTCTTACTAAGATCATCGTTTGTGCATAAGTACAAAACAATTCGTTTATAGTCTTTTCCAGTTTCATTTTTATATCGTTTAAGAGTGAAAAATTCTTTTGTACCAGGCAGGAACAAAGCCTGGCTTCCATCTTCATAAACGAACAAGTACTAAGTACTCCCTTCCTTCTTCATAAACATTGCTTTGATATGCTTTACACTTCAGCAATGCTTGAGATAGTATCTCAATATATGGGGCTTCGTTTGACACTTTTAGAGCAATGCTCTTACCCCTGGAAGATTTCAATTTCCGATCCAATGATCGCCATTAAGGTAGCCCAATAAAAGTTACTACATTTTCATATTACATTTTCAGCTTTCTCTTTCTTCTTATTTTTAACTTTGTTGTTCCATTCACTTCCTTTTAACTTTCGGTATTGTGAAAACAACTTGATTTTGGTGCTTCTTGATGAGATGCTTGCAGTGGAGCTTGAACTTAAACTGTAACCTGTACTTGGAGAACAACTTATGCTAATATTGAAACCTGGGCTTGGATTAAAACTTGAATTGATGTTTTGCAAATTTTCTATCAACAGGAACATACAAACTATTAAAGATTAACAAAAACAGAAAATTGAGAATTCATATGTAGATATTCGGCACATGTAATTTATTATTTTCGCATATTGTCAATTTATCTAAGAAAGAGGGAAGTTTAAAAATACGTACATGAAATCAATAAACATGTAAAATGCTGTTGTTTTAAAAAAGCTCTTTTAAAGAAAAACAAATTAAGTTTAACATCTGCACTTCATGCTTAAATTCCTACATATTTTATAGTTATTCCCAAACCTCGTGTTTCTAGTATTCTACAAAAACAGAAATTTTTAGTTTTAAATATAAATTTACATGAAAGAAATTAAAACATAGTGATAGTAATACAGTTGAGGAGTTGAGCATGTTGATAAAAAGTTCTTCAATTTTAATTTTTATCAGTTATAATGCACAACTTCCTTTGAATGTTTTCAGAGTACTAGCTAAAATAGAATTCAAAATGTCATTAAATTGCTTATCATGAAATGGATGTCACTATCTCCTTTTCCAATTGGATGAAAAGCCAATACATAACTATCATTTATTAAACTCTACATCAGCAAGACAAAAGTAGGTGCTACAATTTTACTCAAACATGTACAAATGATATTTCTCAGATGAAAAAAGAACTGAAATGCGATCAAGCATAAAATCATTATGTTTCAAAATTACACTGTATTTTTGTCTTAATTTGTGCATGGATGCAGGCTTAAAGTACAACACTGTTTGATCATTGTTTCTTTCATTAGGGGGGGGGCGGGGAGGGATTTAAGAGCGACATGGGAATAAACACTGAAGGTGTGAGTTGCTAAGTGTTTTTGGAAAAACAATACTTGGCTACCATTATTCATATCAATTTTCAACCTGTGAAACTATCTCTTTTTGAAATGCAACATAGTTTAGCTCAAATTCTTTCAATTGATAAATTTCATAATTCTCTTGTACCCTTCCATAGAAATTGCAATATGTTTTCACCAACCCAGCACTCCTACAGTGAATTTACTGATTGTTTTAATGATAAATCTTGAGGCACAGACAAATGGGAACTCAAACACATAAAAAGTGCATGGAAAAAATATTTAGCATGACTCTAATCAAACAAGTGCAAAAATTGATATTATTACTACAGACAGGTCAGACCAGTCACCTGACAGGACAGGAAGCACAGCAAATAACGAAAACATTACCTCTGAAGACATCAGAGTTACATAAAATATCATTTTAGTTATCATTTCTTCAACATTTTAAGATACAATTTGATACAACGAATTACCTCCACAAGAAAAACATTACTTCGCTATTAAAGAAACTTTGTTACCGTAATTTGAGCAAAATTTTTTGGCCTTCGACTCGGCTATTTTGACTAGATATTGGTGACCAATACTCCAGTGGTTATTGTGGCTTTTGCGTTGCGTGGCTTTTGTTTTTGCGCCGTGGCTTTTTGATTTTGTGCCGTCGCTTTTGCTTTAGTGCCGTGGCTTTTTGCTTTTATGTTGTAGCTTTTGTTTTTGTGCCGTGGGTTTTTGCTTTTTTGCCGTAGCTTTTACTTTTGCGCCGTAGCTTTTTGTTTCTAACTAAACACCACTAGAGTCCCCCATTCACACCTCTAGTTAGGAATGAAGTAAAAAAAGGAACTGTTTGTTAGTGTAAAAAAGATCAGATTTCAAATTATGCAAGTTAATTCTAACCCTTCTTCCATCTTCCATAAACTAAGTCTCAATATTGTAAAACAGAATTCGAGATAATTGAAACACTTGAGATAATAGTATGTCCCGCGACTTTCTCGACTTACACTAGATTTACTTCTGGCTTTCATTAATTGCTATTCCTAGTTACTCGTGCTATCAAAAGTAAGCTCAAGTTTAAAAATTTGTCTAACAAAATCGCATAAATCACGTGTGTCTGACACAAAGTGTTTGAGCGAAACAAAAACTTTTTTCGATCATTTAACGCGCGAGTGTCATTAGTGACACGTATAATGAAACACATATTACTTACATGCATATAACAAATTGTAACATGCAAGATTGCTTTGCTGAAAATTTCGTTGTGCTATTTGGCAACTATTATTATATAATACGCAAATATAATCAAACATTGTTGTCCAGTTGGACGAGTGAATACTTGATAGATGTCTTGTTAATCTAGATGTTTAGACTCCGTTGCTTTTTGTTTCGGTAAGACTAAGCAAGTTTTGTCGACAAAATGTCTTACGAGAAGATTCTAACTGTTGCAAAATTCACTTTTTTTAAATATAGCACGATAAATTTTGAAACTTTAAATTTTTATTGCTAATATACGTAGTTGTTGATGAATTTTTAAATACTTAGCGAAATCAACGCAGAGATCCAGCGATAGTTGTTGCAGTTTTAAAACATGCATTCATTTGCATTGATTTGCTGTATTCCGTTATACCATTGTTCAAGGAATAATGCTTCAGCCAACAAATCAACCCATTTTTGTAGAAAGTCAGACAGAGTTTTTCAAGTACTTCGTCAAATCACATTGGTTAGCATAATAATTTGCAGGACAGCAGATTGCAAAAATATTCGAAGAGGCTTGTCATAACTGTTTGATATCTTAAACTGGAGCTGAGTTTTTTCTGTTTAATAATATTTTTACACTATTTTTTCAACTTAAATTACGGTTCATTGTTGCTACAGGTAAATACGAACGGAGCCATATCCTTCATTCGGCAAGTTTCACAATTTACACCAGATCCTTTTCCACTTGACAATAATCGCCGTTTGATCGCACCATTCTGGGCAGATGTTGACACAAGACGAGGAGGCAATGTTTCCTACAGAGAGAGTAATGATTTCTCTATTCGAGCTCGTGTATCAGATGAAATTCGAAGATATTTTGTTCGTCAGCGAGCATTTTTTGCTTCGTGGGTTTTTGTTGCAACATGGTCAAACGTGGGACATTTTGGTAGTTTTTCAAAGGTAGCGTTAATATCAGATTTATTTTTATGTTTTTTTTTGTATTGCTGAACTCAAAAATGCAGAGGTAAAGTGAAAGACCATGTATATGTATTTTTCATAAGAATACTGTATGTGCAATTGAACTTGCATAAATGTGATTTCTAATGATAATTGGAAAATCAAAACGTTCAGAAACTGCCTAGGGTTGGTTGTACGAAAGGCGTTTAAGTTGTCAACAATCGTTTATTATGTATAAGCGTCCCTTCCGGCCAAATAGCGCACTTTGATTGGCTGAGAAATATTTTTGCTGATGCATTATTTTCCGTAATAAACCACGGTCAAAAACAGGTAATTTTACTGTCAAATATAAACAAACTTCGTAAAGCAAACATCAAAACGCAAAATCAACGAAGCAAAAAACCATTTACGATTGTGATTTGAAGAAAAGCACTCAGAAAACAGTTTAAATATCCAGACGATACAATTTAAACAATTTTTTTAATGACGAAAACCGGAAAAGTGAAAGACAACCCGTTTAAAACAGCAAGGATGACAAAGAAAGCAAGCTTCGTTTCAGTTCAAATAATGCCATATAATAAAGCTTCTAATAACCTCATTTTCGCGGTCTTTACTGAGAAATATCGTACCTCTATATTTTGTTACAAACCTCGCCCAACGGGCTCGGTCTGTACAAAAAACCTCCATCCGATAATTCTCTATGAAGAACACGCGCTTTGATATTAAGGGCTTATTAAATTCCTATCCACCGTATAAATTTTCAACGCTTAAAAAATTACGTATTACGAAGCCAGTCAAATTTTGCTCATCCACCGTACAAAGTTTAACGGTCTCGTGAGATCGTTCAAGTCACTAAACAGCCGATAAATCCTTGTTGTCCTGTTGTTGTTTTTTCTCATATGGCCTACAGATTATAGTAAATTCACTTCTACGCTCACCCAAAAGTATAAATAGGACAGCTAATAGAATTTATTGATGTGAAATAACTGAAATAAGAGGTAAAAAACCGTGAAATCGACGACATTTTGACGTATCACAGTGACAACGAGTAACAACGAACGAGTTACATGAATGTTTTCTCTTCAGTGAAAAAACTACAGGCTATAGATCACATGTCTTTTTAAAAACCATGTCCAAATAAAAATAGTAGAGTAAAAACAATTCATCAGCGTCCTAAATAAATTTTTAAATCGTATTCTCTATTACGAAGATATGTCTTTTCGGGAATTTCTTACACCACGTCGTATCAAAAATGACGTAAGTCGAATAAATCGCTGTCAGCCAGTTTCTGGGACAAAATAAGCCTTTATAACGCTATAATTATAGATTACGCAAGTCTGCGCAGCAAATGATATATAATAAGCAATTATTGGATGATGTTGAGCATGATATCAAGAAATATTCAGACCGAGGTCAACGTTACTTTGCTGATGTGTCACTTTAACTAGTTGAAGTATTATTAAAACATATAAATATAAAACATTTGCCATCCCACAAAAAAAGGATTACCAACCTTTGATGCCTTTCCAAACGTTTTTGCTGTTTCCGAGCGCAGCTTGAGGCGTTGCTCAAAACCTGAGCTAATTAGCTTTCTTTTTGCCTCAGAGAAGTCTTGTTTCGCATGAGACTATAATATGGGATTGATTCTTTTCAATACTAACTCTCAGTGATCCGTTGCAACACGAGTGAACACATCTCCCACCAACAGCAAAGCGTGTTTTATACAAGTTAGGAAGGCGACGACACTGTCCTTCTTTAGTTCAACAGAAGTCGCCTCATTACTTATAGAGGTTAACATGGATATGAGGCTCTCGTACACGGTTGCTAAAGGACCCACGATGTCTAAATTATTATCTGTAGCTTCCTTTAAGGTTTGTCTGGAGCACTCACCCCTCGGACAAACGGTTTTAGACCCTCGTTTAGGAATGGTGTATAAATAGAATCCCCATTGGGAGGGATACATCTTTATCAAGCTCCTTCGTTCAAAACAGGATAGACGTTTTGAGACTGTTCCTGGGAAATCAATAAACTCCCCACTGGTTTCCTAGCGGGAGTTTGGCGATAGTAATTCATCAACTACGTGCTCAACGCTCCAATCGTCTTGAGCGGTGAGCTCCATATTTGAGGTAAGCATATGCGCAATCTTTTAGCCGGTAAATCAAGCTCGAGTTCTTGTTCAGAAGCTCGTTTCACTGCGACAGCTTGATCCACTAAAGACGGTTTTCCATTACGGTTGCTTCGCCTGAGCATGGGAAATCTGTTTTATGAGAGCATTGGCCGCCCGCTGCTTCTCCCGTGCAAGAAGAATCCTAGAAAATGACTTTGGCATTGCCACCTCACGATTCAGACTTTTCGGACGAGCAATTACGCCAGATGTTGCTACAAAGGCAATTGTGGCTCTTCATAACTACTTCATAGCTGACAGGTGTATTTCAAGTAATCCACTATGTCCATCTGACCTTATTGACCGTGACAGCAATCGTTCATTTACACTAGGTGGGTGGAGAAGGGAGAATGTCAATAATAGCAGGATGTAACACTTCTTGGATCCAATAACTATTCAATACAACCAAAAAATACCAGAGACTGTTTTAGAGATAATTTCATGTCACCAATAGGTTTAGTGCCATGGCAAGACATGATTGTAACATCACGACCTTCTATATGTTTGACAGACTTGCATTAGATGAAACAGTGGAGTGACATGTACTCTTAATGGTTAATTCAGCATTTCGAAACCCTATATTCCTTTTTTGTAATAAACACACTTTTGTCTTCAAACAACATATCAACATATTTCACAATAGAATTTGAAAGAAATATCAATAAAAAATAAACATGAGCAATTACGAAAAATTAATGCAAGAGTTCTAATGTTCATCATCCAACTCATACTTTATAAGAATGTTTTGTATTTCAACCCTTGCCATTCGGTTGCTCTAAGGAGGCAATTTATCTAATATATCCACAATGCTTTCACAAAACAATTGGTTTGAACTGCGCCCTTCATTTTTTTGTGTTGACACATCTTCTGACTTCGTTAAAGCAACAACCAACAACAAGTCAATCTTTTCTTGACGATCAAAATGTTTTTTGATCGCTCATAAGGCTGCTTTTTGTCACACTGATCTACATCCAGTTTGCGTTAACAAAGCTCTTTTTTACTGTCATATTTGTATGCTGTGAACCTTACTGATTTCTGTTCAGCAGATTCAGTTTTTTGTTCGTTTACTGATTGTTTGAAATATTCAGTGGGTTTACGTTTATGTTGCTTTCTGTTGAACGATTGGAAACAAAATCACTTAAAAAAAGCAATTGGTCGAAGAATTTGCATGTGGGTATCTTTGTCGCACCCGCGCCAGACTTTTGTCCACCACATATCTTTTTTAAGCAACGCATCATGTCATCGTGTAGGTTTTTCAACCTTCGTTTGAGCATTCCATTTAAAATACATTAAAAGACAAAAAACTTAGACAACATTTTTTGCTCTGTAAATTCAAAGATGATGGCTTTTGTTTTAATATTTTAAGTCATACTCAACTCAAAACTGCCTACAAGAATTTAATTCTGATTTTTTCCTCAACAACATAATTTCATCTGATAAAACAACTGTAAACACAGTACTGAGTACACTTAATACAACAGTATATAACATGCCTGCAAAAATATTTCACTTCTCAGAATAAAATAATAATATAATTCACAATTCCTGAGCCTGAGAACATTTTAATAAAAAATATTTATTGAAAACTAATGTTTACTAGTCTCAGTTAGCAGATAAAATTTGACATAGCATATGGTACTTGATAGTAATGAAGTAAATGGTTTGAACCGGGGAGTTTTGTAACATGTTTGCGGATGAAGATCGTCCAGGTTAGTAGAGTCTTGAGAAGGACCAGGGGCGGATCTAGGATTTTTCAAACATCAGTCATAAAACGTCGAACGCTCCGCACCTGGGGGGTCTGAGGCATTCTCCCCTGAGAAATTTTGAATTTCAGAGCCTTGAAAATGCCATTTTCAGCGTTTCAGAGCAATACAAAATGTATTTGTGGGCATCGTTTTTGCGTAAAAACAACACATTTTGCTTACGTTTTTTTCAAAAAAAAAGTGAAAAATACTTGAATGTTTTGCCAAATATTTAGGCTCATTATCATGCCAAATATATAGCTCATTAGCATGTCTAGGAACGTAAAATTTATTTTACAATAATGCTATTCAAAAACAGATATAGTCTTTAAAAATTTCTACCAAGTTGTCAGGCATAGACCCCCCTAGCGACCCCCACTCAAACCTCTATGTAATGAATTTAGTTAAGTTAGAAATTTGGTACTACAAGTGACAGTTCATAGATATAGAAAAGCTCAGACTTCAAACCATGCAAGTTTATTGTAACCCTTTACCCATCTCCACATCAGTGCCAGCAAATTCACCTTTTGAGAAAAAACTCAAAATTTTTTCTGCCAAAGGTTAAGCAAAAATTATCAGAGTGAAAATTTGCAGTTAAGGACAGCTTAATGCCATAAATGTTTATTAGGCATTTCACTAGACTATTATCTCCTGTAAGTATATGCAAGGTTTGCTATATAGCAATCACTAGTAGCATTGTATTTGCTAATACAAACAGAATGTAACGAGCATGTCTTTAATTATATAATTACATGAATGTTAAAATTGGTTCATGTGTCATGCTTACTGGTTATGATAAATATCTTTTCATATAATCAAAGCTTGTTTAAATGTAAATCAGAAATAATTTAGTTTAGAAATTATAATGATCATCAGAAAAATTACCTAGTGATCATGAAAAATACTTTGCTGTTTTGCCAAATTTCAAGGTTTATCTGCATACATAGAAAGGCATTTTTACTTTATAGAAAATGCTTTTCATACATCAATAGCCCTTTGGAATTTATGGCAAACAATCTGGAATGAGCCGTAGATTGACAGACCTTTACATCTCTACATGAGGTGTTCAGTTAGAAAAGGGGACAACATTCCATGTATGTGAAATACTCATGTTTAATACCATTCCAGTCAAATTGTCAAAATAAAAAGCTTCATGGATCAGAAGACTCAAAATCACAGGTTATAGTAAACAGCTTCTCATGTAATCAATGTTAGTTTTCTCAAATCTTAAACAATATGTAGTATAACTGTACAATGATTGAATGATCAATGATCATAAACTGAAAAACCCCAAACATTTGTTAATGATAAAGTAAATAATGGTATGGAGCCTTATGGCTACAGACGTTTTGTCCATTGAAATATATTTGCAGGAATGTAGGATTTCGCTGCCGTATAACGGCCACGATTCCCCAAGCACTAAAGAAATCATAGCTAAAAGTCCTTCGTCAACAACAATTTTAAGGTTTAATACCATACGCCATATTGACATAAATCGCATCACATACTCGCATAATTGACTTTGATATATTACATTCATGCATACACTTCACTTGTCCTTTACTTACGATTTTGGATGTAAATTTCTGCTGATAAAACTCAAAACAATGTTGGCTTTATTTTGAACATCAATGACTGAAATGTCGCTCGCGAGATCGTCTTTGCCAAGCATTTAAATTTATCCATAAATTTCCACCCTCTTGAAAAATTCACATTTTGGACAGCAGCATTCATGTCAATATATGAATTTGTAAAGATTTCCATAAATTCCATCTGATTGTAGTTTAGTTTCTATCATGCTTATAAAATTACTATAAAACGATCAAACATTCAATTCAGACAGTGAGCTTGACTATGTTAGTTCAGTTGGCTATCAGTCGAAATCCGTCAAACCAATCACAATAAAGCAAAAATTCAAATGAACCAATTGTAAGATAGCAATTGGACTCCCTTACACGTCCGGCCACCCTTATTATCAGTCGAGACCATTCCAGACTGTCCACTGATCTGGCTATTGACCAATAAAATAAGCGTTTTTGACGTTCATAGACTCCTTTATCCGTCGAACCAGTCAAGCCACCCCGCTTATCAGTCGGTTATTCCAGGTCAATTAAAATTCAACTGATCTGGTTACCAACGAGATATTCATTGGATTAATCATTAGTTTTCAGTAATAAATAATGCGGGATTTTTATCACGAAGTAAATGCGATAAGAAAATAAGAATAATTAATGAATTTTTAATTAATATGAATAGGTAATTTTTGAATTTCAAACATCAGTCGCGCGACGGATTTGACATACTCTAGATCCGCCCCTGAGAAGGACTGTTCTTGTTGTTGTTGATTCACGTTTCGACCATAGCGGTAGTCATCTTCAGAGTCAAGAGACTTCACTTTGTAATAACGTAACGATATATTCCAGAGAATTCCGTGGTTTCTTACCTCATCAATCAAATGTTTATCTATGCTGTCGTCATCCTCAACGTTTTCTGGTAATATAACATGCAAGTGACTAAAGTTTTCGTCTTGATTCACTTGCTGCATAATCTCTTCCTCCATAGACGCCATCTTGTTTTTGCTGTCCACCGCATGGTTTGCGATGAAAGTCAATGTGATTTCGAATCGTCAGCTTACCCGTCAGCGTTCTGGGGAACGCTGCGCGCACGATGCAATTGTGGAGAGAGAACTTTTATTTGCATGCGCAAACTTAAAAAACCGCTCGCTCGTGCAAAGTGATCGTAATGGAAAACCGCTTTAATACAACAGTTTTGACTGCAGCAGAGTTCTCAAGTACACCCCATTTGATCCAGTGATACTCTGGAATTATGTTTGCTGCCTAGCCTTCGGGCACTACAGTTTTATTTTGATTTTTAGTTAACCCGTACGAGTCAGGCTTAGACTTGTTGAGACTTGGGGTAGTATTAACATAAATTGCAACGAACGTACGGGTAGTTTGCCCACATTCTTCAATACTTTTCGTTCTGGATGCGTCCAGATTCTCGATCATTTTCAAATCAGATAAATTTTCTTTGCCTGCCATGTTTGCAGAGTGAAACAAAAAGACAAAGTGCAAGCCACTGGTCAGCGAGTATAGTTTGAGACAGTCAGATGTTATGTGATTTGTTAGTTTACCACCTCATTAACCCGCAAAAACCGGTTTTTTCATTTTTCCTCCGTTTAAATTTGAGCTTATCCTGCGAAAGTTAATTGCTATGCTAAACGGCGTTTTTTATCTATTGTTTAACTATCCACCGGGTAAGGAATTTATACGGTGGATTGCGTCTAAACGTCGTTTAGTTTAGACACCTTTCGTATAACCGGCCGCATGCATGAAACCTTAATCATCTTCATTAGGCTAGGTTATGCGATTGCTAACACAACACACGAGAGCTATCTCCTGAGCAAAAAGTAACTCGTGTGCCTTTTTGCTTAGCACGTAACTCATCGTGTTTGCTTGATTTTCATCGTGAGTGCTCGAGTTTTCACCTCAATCAACGAAAGGATGAATATCAAAATGTTTCATATTTTTGCCTCTTGAAGAGAAATCTAACCTTTTTGCAGGGATTGTAAGCTACGCATGCTCACCAAACGAAAATCAAACCTTGTATAAAAAAACCATGCTTTTGAGTCAAACGAAAAAATAGCCTTTTAAGGATAGAGGGTATAAAAGATACTGTTGCTAGTATTCATATTTTATAATATATATGCGTGTAACGCAACAATGGGAAAATATTTTATACATATGCATAAGGTATTATAAGTAAGATAAAACATAATGTATCAGCTACGATATAAATGGATTAGATGACCTTCAATTTTTCATTTTGAAAAGACGCCGTCGTAACAACTGGAAGGAATGTTGTCGAAAGATATTAATCATGTGACAATTATCTTCTGTTAATACTTTATATCTCCATGAACTAATATTACAATGCTACATGAACTGAGATCATATTTGATAGTACTGATTGCATGATTTAAATTATATAATTAGACAGTGGCAACAACAACAAATGCATCAACAAACAAATTAAGATGGAAAACCATAAGGACCCTTTTCTTTATGAATACGATTCTACTAAAACACTTAGATTATTCGCTCATGCTTTCTATGAAGCAATATAGTTAATTCGGGCTTTGCCCTTATTAACTATCAATTTATAAAAATCTTGAGCTCGTAATCTAATTAGTTATTATATAATATGAAAAACACCATTTATATTAAAATTTATGATCTCCATGTTATATGGCCTTCTTTATTTTCATCATGGACACCAAAGCACGGTCTTATTGTTTGTTTAACTTTCACTTGGTGAGCATGTAGCTTAGAACCACTGCACGTGGTGGGATTTCTTTTGGCGAAAAATATTAAACATATTCAATATCCGACTGAATTAGAGGTAAAATTTCAGTGAAAATCAAGCACGGATATTTAGCTATCTACGTGCTGAGCAAACATGCAGCATTTACTTTTTGTGTAGAGGATATGACAGTATTGTGATAAAGATGACAGTCGTAACAAGTACGAATTCGCGATAACAAGGAATAAAATTTTAAAACACTGTAATTTTTATAAATTATTGCATCATTTTAGTTGCAGAATACTTTTCAAACAATATTGGCAACAAATGGAATCAGCTCTTTTGCAATATTTTACTACAACAAAATTGAATGGACCTATGGAACAGCCAGCCGTAATACTGAAGCCCAGGTTAGTAAAAAAGAACACCGTCACAAAAAGTTTTTTTAATTGTACTCTAAAGGCTAATTTTCATGCAGCTGCATTTATGCATAGAGGAAAATGCTCGGGCGCATGTTGCTCTTAATTGTGAATGCTTTTCTACGTGGCGGAAATTGCCCTGGTGCGCTTTTTTTGGAAAAAAGACATGGCTGCTGTCAACAAAAGATAGTTACTTCTCCACGAGCTTAAAAAACACCGTAATTTCTATTTATATACTTCGTTGAAGAAAAAGGGATAGGATTCCTATCAAAATAGTAATTTTGAATGAGAAAATCACCGCTTCATTGCAGTGATCTTGAAGGCTGGAATTTGAGATCAAAACAACGCACTTAAAAGTAGAACGAATTCAACTTTGTCGCGTTGCTCTAGAGCTGCTTGAGAGCACAGAAGTGCTACTGACAATTTAAACTTCACAAAGTGGCGCATGCGTCATTCAATAAGAATGAGAGCATGTTGCGCTATAGCGTAAAATGCCGCTGCATTGAAGTTAGCCTTAATTAAGACTTGAGTAATCGTTCAAAAGTTGATCGCATTCGATTCGGGTGACATTAACAAATATGGCGACCATATTTTTAAGTGACATGAGTATTTTCATCGTAGCTTTAACAAATTTTACTGCAATAGGTGCTTGTCTTCTAGCAGGAAAGATAATATTGTTTTAGCATTTAAACTTAAAGGGATTTTTTAAGATGACCATTCTCTCTGTTTTTGATTGTTTTGAAAGGGACTCGATTAATTGTTGTAGGACTGTTTGACAGACATCAAAATATGTCAAGTATGAATGTATTTCGGCGAGTTTGGTCGTTTAGATTGCTTTCGAAAAGACTAAATAACATTCTTTAACGGAGTTCCATTATCGTATTTTTGAAAAAATACATTTTATCAGTTATTAACCCTAACCCTAACCCTAACCTAACTTGTTATTTTAGCGTTATTTTAAAACATTTAACAAATGAATGAAGGCAATTAAAGGATTTAGCTCAGTATTTTAGTTGTAATTTTAAAGATATAGAGCTATTGAATCTAAAAGTCTCACATATAATCAAGATGTACACATATATTTTTCAATTAAGAAATAAATCCTCATTGCTTGTACACAGGCATTGTTTTTGTCATGGTTGTTATTAAAATACTTGCACTTATAATTAAATTGTCGTGTGCTAAAATCAGCATTTATACTAAAAATTTTCCACAAAAAATCTTTCTCAAAAAACTTAGAACGCTGTTTTTACTAAAAAAAGGTTTTTTATCCATTGTTTTATTTTGAAGTAAACGCATTTGGGGCAAATTTTTGTGAGGTATGTGTATCAACAATTCCTTCAGTATGTGTTCTCAGTCAATAATTATAAATGTAAAAAAATATGTTAACTCATGTTGCTGATTTCATCTTAAACAGATACTAATCAGATTTTTAGCAAATTATAGTTAAATTTATGGCTGGAATGATTAAAGCACATAGTACAATATGTTTTTGTTTGTTGAGAATCAGTACGTGCATCACGGTGCATGTGCAATTTTCAGTGTTTAAGCTGAGTACACAACAATTTGAATGTGCATTTACTTAAATCACAAACATAACAAAAATAATGCCTATATACAAGCAAATTAACAGTTTGTTGTAAATAAGTTGAACAAATTAAATTTTCATATTCTGCGCAACTTTAAGTTTACTAACTTCTTATCTTTAAAAAGACAGCTCAAATTCTGAACATAGGTACTTTCCTTTTATTCATAAACAAAACGTTTCAAAAAGTGCTAAAATATTTCAAAAGGGTACAAAAAATAACCTTACACAAATACATTTTTTGACAACAAAAATATAAGAACTTTGTTGAAGTATGTGATTTAGTTTGTTCGAATGCACTTTAAACGGCCAAAATTGCCAAAAATACATTAATACATGAAACATTTTAATATCTGTCGTACACTTCTATTAAACTTGAATCGCTTTGAGAACTATATCAAACAAAAGGAATCGTTGTGTTCAAAAACTCTTTTATTAGAATGATAATAAAACGTTATTTTTAATTATATGTAGTTAGTGAAATAATTTTGAAAGAATCAGATCGGACTAAGTATTTAATGAATGAATATTATAAGCATTTCATATGCTACGCGATAAATTTTCCTCACGCTTCATTATTATGAACATTAAATTCACATGAGTTTTTTAGGTTTGCTGTTTTTACACAATTCTCTTCCACTGAGTTCTTCTGCTCATCATTGTGTTAGTGTTTACAATTCTCTATTAACCGTTCACTTAGATTTGATTTTTTTTAAATTAATTTACTAAATAGAAGTCATAACTAAATTAAAACGGGTGGAAGTGATCAAATATCTCGTTTTTAAAAGATTTTATTCAAGATTTAGGTTACAGCTGATAAAACTGGGTGAGTTGACAGATCTTTCTGTGTATAAGACATGACCTTAAAATGCCGAGTCAGCATCATGGTAATAAAACATTCGTTAATGCTTCATTAACGAGGGGTTGAAAGTAAATGGTGAAATATAATTTTTTTACTTATTTTATACTAATCAATCGAATGGTTCTGAGAATTTTTGGATTTTTTCAAATTTTTTGGTTTTGATAACTATGATGGCGTGATGGTGAATGAAATGTGAATTTCTGCTTATTGTGCACACTTATCGCTTGAGGCCACATTGATTACTTGCCTTTGCATTATTCCGCATAATATTATGAAATAAATTGCTATTTTTGAGAGGTGTTCAGCGAAAGTTGTGTTTTTGAGCACATTGGTCCACGGCCTACCTATTTCGCCGCCATATTTTATATAATTAAACAATTAAATGCGGTAAAATTTTGAGCATTAGATACGCGTGTCTGTAAAAAAGTGCTCTTAAATAGATTTTTATGCACCCTTTGCTAAATTTTAGGCTGGTTTTAACGCAGGTGATGGTATTCGATACTTCAACATCCCAAATTCTAGAACGCCTGCCATTATTAACATTACCTCAACATCAAACTATAATAAGCCGGGCTTCTGGATATTTCAAGTGGATGGAGAGACTGTTCAAAATCAGGGATGCACAATGAGTGGAGGTAGGGTTTTGTATTAGAAAAATTCAAAAGATTGTAAATTGTGGGCAGTGTTTGGAAGGGAAATTAAAAATTGCATGGCCTTACTATTATGTTTCAACGCTTTGGTGAAAAACAGACATTCTTTGATGTGGTGTAAACTACTTTTTTAGCTTCTTGGCAGAACAATAAATTTTACTATAAATACTTATATCATAACATTTGTTTTAGATCAGGTTTATCATTAAGATGCCTATATTAGGGTGAGGCAAATAACTATTTTTTTATTTTGTTAAGATAATTTTGATAACATTTGCAATATATTTGACATGACAAACATTTCATCTTCGTGTGTTTTTTTAGCATAGAATTAAGTCACTCTGTACTATGCATGTGATGTAAAAGGATAAAAGATGCATTCAATATATAAATATCATTATATATGATAATGATAAGGATTCTCTGGATTTGTTTTAAATTTTTATTAAGCTTTCAACTCGGTGCTTCGAGCCTTCGTCAGAATGTGACAATATATTATTTACAAAGATTTTGTAGGCGTTTGGAGCGTCTGATTGGTGGGTTAGTATTTGAGTTGATATTATTGGATGGTTGATATTATTGATATACAAAGTCTATATGCAATGTGCCCTCCCGGCTATCACCATAGTAAAATGGTGACTCCTGCACTTGAGACACAGGACATATATACATATATATATATCATGATGTTGAAAAAAATCACGAAAACTACAGATTGATTACGACAAGCCTGTTTCGTGATTGCTTAAATCTCCTGAAGAGTGAGCAATCAGGGAACAGGCTTGTCAAGATGAATCTGTAGTTTTCGTGACTTTTTTAACATCACTACATATATTTACGCTCTGCTCTCGGGCATCGAGAACTGTTTTATACTAAGAATCATCACATATAAACTTCCTATATAAGTATGTATTTTATTTAATAGCGTTCCCCGCATTGAAGAGGCGGGGTCATGCTCTTTAGGGAAATTTTGAATTTCAAATGCTTGGAAATGCCATTTTTAGCTTTTTAGTACAATACAAAATTTTTTTGTGGGCATCGTTTTTCCATGAAAACGACACATTTCGCTTACGTTTTTTCTCAGAAAACATAATGTTTAAGGCTTATTAGCATGCCTAGGAACATAAAATTTACTTTCTAACTATGCTATACCAAAAAACGATATGTTATTTAAAAATTTCTAACAAGTTTTCAAGCATAGGCTCTCCTAAATATCCCCATTCACATCTCTATGTAACGAGTTAAGTTAGAAATGAGATACTACAAGGGACAGTTCATAGATGTAAAAAAGCTTTCAAACCATTCACGTTTATTGTAACCTTTAAACCATTTCCACATACAGTGCCAGGAAAATCACCTTTTTAGAAAATATTCGATCTTTTATTTTGCCAAAGATTAAACAAGTTAGTGAGAGTGAAACTTTGCAATTATGGACAGCTTAAAGCCATTGATGTTTATTGGGCATTTCACCAAACTCTTATCTGCTGTAAGTCTATGCAAGCTGTGCTATATGTCAATTACTAGTAGCATTGTATTTGCTACTACAAACAGTCATATAATTACATGAAATGACAAGTACACATTATACAAAATTTTTGCCTGAAATTATTAAAATTGTCTCATGTGTCATGCTTACTGGTTATGATAAATATCTTTTCACATAATCAAAACTTGTTAAAACGTAAATCTGAAATGAGTTACTTTTGAAACTATAATGATCATCAGAAAAATTACCTAGTGTTCATGAAAAGTACTTGGATGTTTTCCAAATTTAAAGGCAAAACAGCCAAGTATTTATCTTCATACCTATGAAAAAGTTTTTACTTTATAGAAAATGTTTTTCCTACACCGAAATTTCTTGCGAATTTGAGACGTAGATCAACACACCTTGGCATCTCTACATGAGGTGTTAATTTAGAAAAGGGAACAGTATGTGACATAGGACAACATTTCATGCATGTGAAACAGCTTATGTTATATACTATCCCAGTCAAATTGTTAACCTAAAAAGGTTCATGGATCAGAAAGACTCATAATCACCGGTTATAGTAAACAGTGTCTCATCTAATCAACATTAGTTCGCTCGAATCTTAAACAATTAATGTATAGTAGAACTGTCCAAGGATTAAATTATCAATGATCATTAACTAGAAAGCCCCCAAAATTTTTTTATAATAAGGTAAATAATAGCATGGTACCTTATTGCTACAGATTTTTTGTACATTGAAACACATTTGAAGGAATGTAGTATTTTACTGCCATATTACGGCCAAGATTTTCCAAGCGCCAAAGAAATCGTAAATAAAAGTAATTCGCCGACAACAATTTTAGAAGTTTCACATCGCTTACCATAAGCCAGATTGACATAAATCGCATCACATACTCGCATAAATTGACTTTGATATTTTACAGTCATGCATACACTTCATTTATTCTTTACTTAGGATTTTGGATGTAAATTTCTGCTGAGAAATCTCTAAACAATGATGTCTTGCTTTTCTCAACATCAATGACTGAAATGTCTCTTGCAAGATTGTCTTTGCCGAGCATTTACAATTTATTCCTAAAGTTTTCATCTTCTTGAAAAAATCGCAGTCTGGACAGCAGCATTAATAGCAATATATGAATTTCTAAAAGATTTCCCTGAATTCTAATGGTGGCTCTGATTGTAGTTTCTATCTGGCTTTAACAAATTACTATGAAACGATTAAACATTCAATTCAGACAGTACGCTTAGGTGCTTGATTATGTTAGTTCAGTTGGCTAACAGTCGAAATCGGTCAAACCAATCGCATTAAGACAAAATTTGAACGAACCAATTACACGATAGCAATGGATTTTTCATACATTAGACAATGGATTTTCTGTTATTGAATTTAATAGTATATTATATTAAGGCAGAAGTTTGCATAAAATTGATAGATGAAAACAAAGAATATTGTATAGAAATCACTGAGTAAGCCTTTTTTGGTTTTCTGAATAGTAACTGCTTTAAATACTTGTAAAGTGTAGCACAATTTGATTTTGTTTTATTGATATATGAATTGGGCAAAATCCAAAAAAATCGTCAAAAACTTGTGCTTGCAATGATGTTTATAATTCAGTTGTGTTTTTGATACTTCCATCCCTCTTTTTCTCTTTGTTTTATCTTTCCTATATTTGTAATGTAAGTGCACAATTTGAATGATTAATGTTTCCACCTCAATGATAAATTTCATAAGCGGTTGCTAGTGGATTTTGTTCACATTTCTATTATCCAGTTTGGTATTGTGTTTATACAAGATTGATGAAGTGCATGTAATGCATATGTAATAGCAAGGCAATAAAACCAAATGAATTAAGTACATTTCGCGTACTTTTATTCTAGAAACGCAAAAGCTTTTTATAAATTATAATGTTATTAAATTATGTTACCTCTATACCTCAATCTAATGAAAAGAAATAAGAAGCATAAAGTTGTGGAAAAACTTTGAAAAGTCAATAAAAGTTTCTTTCGGAAAAGCAGCCAACAATGAATAGGAAACACTGGATAGGAAAAAAACAATAAATCATTTGTGTTTTCAGCTTTATCAGTTTTTGTAAGAATCTGCCTAGTCAATAACATCTCCAGTCATCCTTGCTCCTTCATCTTCCCTGCATGTTGTCAGCAAACAGAACATAACAAGCTCTGCTTCAAATCATGGGTACTGTTTGGTCTGAACGTTTCTTTTTAATATCTACCGACTGAGTAATATGTGCAGGGTCTTTTTTGCGTTAGGGAAACTATTGCGCAAATAGATTGGTAAATTTACAATTTAATGCATTAAAAAATAACAGAAAATTTTGCTAAGTTTTACAAACAAAAACAGGAAAGCATTAGTATATTTGGCGTTCAAGTCAGTCTTAAAAAAACGATATTCAGCTAATACGTTTTTTATGGCTTTTCAAGTGCACGTATAATTTCTTTTTAATCGTTTATGAACTAACAAAACAAGCAAATATCTCATCTGTAAGAATCGAGATGCTCTTTTTTGTGGAAACTACTACATCCAACAATTAAACAACTAAAGTGTTGGCATTATAAATGAATGCCAAAAAGCTAATGTGTTTGTTTCTGAAAAATGTGTTTAATTGACTATAGACATCAGGGGGAGGTTGAGGATATTTTTTCTGCAAAGCAAACAGTAGAAATAGGTCCTTTGGTATCCATGATTTTAACAACATGGCCCCAGTCGACTTAGCCCCTCCAGACATTATTTAACTCAACCATCGAGTTCTATTAAATTACCTGCATGGAAAAAGGAGTCTGGAATCGGTTATCAAAAAAATGGTAGTGAATAGGAAATTTTGGATGAAAATCTTACACTTTGAATTTTTTTTTATCATTCACTCCTTCCTGATTTCTGATAGACTTATGCTGCTGTTAGGCCTGTTTTATACGTTGCATTTTACATAAGTCGAATGTAGTCAAAACAAAACTTAGTGAGGATTTTTATCTCATTTTCTTATGTCTCGAATGCATTCGACATATGTAAAATGCGACGTATAAAACAGGCCTTACGCTTTCGATGCAAAGATATGCTTTAGCGTTTTATAGAACATGCACACAATTATACGAAGAAAATCTACGGTAAAGACACTTCAATTGTAGTTAAATAACAATTTAGATCAACAGATTCTACAGAGTGCATGTAAAGAAAATATCTTAAACATGGTGAGCTACAAAAAGAACTTAATGCAATGACCATGATATAATTCTGTTTTCTATTGGAAACTTTTTAAACATGATATTACTATAGAATAGTAAACTATTCAGTACAATTCTTGAACAAATGCAGAGTAGAACCACATTAATCGAAATTATTCTTTATTGAAATTACAAGTTTTGAAATCAAAGAGTTTCTGCTTCCCGTCATAGCACTGTGTATTACTGTACGAGAATTAAACATTTAAACAGTAGGAGTCCAGATATTTTGCGAGATTTGTAAATATTGTTTTGTATTAAAAGTAAAAGTAATTTGTATTTCGTAATGTTTTAAGAATCAATTTTGGGCAAAATAATAATTTGTACAAAGATCTTGGGAGGATTTGAAAACATATGTGTTTTGTTTTAATGTGGACAGTCAAAAACGGAGCCTTTTGAAAATGATGACGTCAATGACGTTTTCCCGCATTTTTTAAAATTCAAAACAAATATGGCGAACCTAAATGAGGACGTGATTTTTGTGATTTCCCAGCTTTAATTAATAGCTCATAAAAGAAGAATATCGACTCTACGCACATTCGTATTTTCTAGTGGCTTGCGCAACCACTATCAAATAAAGAAGCCATATGAAAAAAGGCCAAGAAGATTTTTGGTTCGTCCAGGAAGAACAAGCGCATGATGGGATAATTTTGTCTCTGAATATATGATAACCGAAGAATGGAAAGAGAATTTTGAATGTGTCGTTCTCCTGCCATAAAGCTTGCTGAACACCTTCGCTCATTTATTGAAGGAAAATCGACTCAAATGAGAGAACCAGTGAAATACACGTGGCAGACACGTTGCATTAGAGTGATTTAGCAAACACGTCGTTTCGTCTAAGACGTCATCAAATTTTTGCGAGCGATTTTGGTCTAGGACGCCACCACCTCGTAAAGTATTTATGAGTTAACAAACCCTTTGTAGGACTTCGTCAAAGAATAGTATGAAACAAGTTTCATCCATTTCGGAATTTTTCCTGCTGGGTCGTGTTTTCCGATTATTTTAAACTAAGTTTTTGATATCAAAAATATACTGCAGTATATTCATTTCAACATTTTAATAAAATTATAAATAAAAGCAATCTCATCGACATACGGCTTTGTGACTAAAATTGTTTTAACTCCGAGGAAACCCCCGAAATTGGAGCAGACCCCGCGTTGTTTATTTGTTTGTTTTTTTTTCGCTTTAGGAAACAAAATATTCGCATTTTTTTCTCAAATGAATATATGTAGGCCTATATAACCTTTTGACATGCAAATATCAAGGATATTTCCTTATTTATTTATTTATTTCAAGAAAATTTTCTTATAATTAGTCCATTTTTTCTTAAAATAAGAAAAAAAATTTGGTGTGTAAGAGGATCGAGACATCGGAGCAATGAGTTTTCAACAAGATGTTCGCGCAAAAATGACTTTCTTTGTACTCGTAGTTTGTACACTTTGCTACAGCTCGCTATTCTGGAAATGTTTACAGGAAAAAATATTAGGTGAAATCCTCCTTTACATAGTTATGCATAGCAATGAGAGTACGATGGATAGTTATCCAATGGATTGCTCTTCTCCTTTATTCGTGCTTTATGCAACACAATTTATCCTTTGGATAGGACTTACCTATATACAATCTTATATATAACCGCCCCCAGAAAAATACTGTTATAAAGCAAGTCGTCTTCAAAATCTGCGCTTAAATTTTATAATGCCGTATAGGTGTATAAACTGCCGGCATCCATAGGCGTACAAGGTGGGGTGCTGGGGATGAAGCAGCACCCCCAATTTTGAGCAAAAGGAGTAATGTCGGGCAATTTATGCCCAAAAGTTGTGCAATATTTGGTCTTTTGTGGACAAAACAATAAGAAAATTAATTACTATAATTAACAAACTAAATAAGCAAATAGGAAAAAATTTTATTACTGGGCAAATTATCTTCGACCTTTTCCTTAGCTATTTATTTTAATAATACTGTCAGATAAAAGTATTTCGCGTAGCTTAAATATGTAAAAAAAGTGTTTTTTATCTAAACCATAGTTGGGGTACAGTAACATTAAGGCTTTAAAATTTATCAGGCAATATTTTCCATCCTTCATTACGTCTTTCTGGCTTTCACATTTAAATTGAATTAAATATATATTAGAGTAATAAGTTATAAGTTTAACGTCGTATGACAACAGAAAACTACCAAGACAAATATTCAAAGCAGGTGTATTGCAAAGAGTGGTGTGTTTTTCGCTTTATATGAATTCTTTTTATATTGTTAAATTTTAACAGAATAACAATGTCATTAGGAAAAACGTAAAAGGGATAGTAACACAATACTTTATTAAAATTAATATTGTATTTTATTAAGTGTCTGAACTTTAAAGCGTCATTTTTCTTCTGCGTAATTTTTTTGCGTCATGTGCTAATTTTATTTGTGTGCAAAATAACTACATTCCATCACTTATCCCTTTTTCAGGGAACTGTCATGCAAACTTTGCAAAGGTTTCTTTAATGTTTGAGGCTAAGGTGATAATGAATATTTCTAGGGTAGGATGCCTTATGGTGCACGGAAATGCAAAAATATTGAAATTGAAAGCATGGAGAAATCTACAAATTCTACGCCATATTTAAGTTTTCCACGTGTTATCCTTTGGTAACAATTTAATAATCAGTTGACGAATTAGTAAATTCGCACTGATCTCATTTGTATGATGTTTCATTAATGAATTCATAGTCTATGCATTATTTGCAATAAATTATTGTTTTTTTCGTTCTTACATGCATTGTTTTTGCCACTTTGTGCAAAATTTTTGACCATTTAGAAACAATGGTTAGAAATGAGTAGCAATCGGTGACCTTTAAGCTTATGATAAATGGATAAAATATTTTATGCAAAAATAGCTAAGTATGGTACGATATCAGTTAGTAAAAGTTAAAGTACTTAGGCAATAAATACACAAACGTGAAGTATTCAAGCAACTTAGCAATCTTATTGACGTTATTAATATGTTTTAGACATCAATCCAGTCATATAGTGCTTTTATATCGTTTTTGTTGGGTAGGAAAGTGTCAGGACCCCCATTTTTTTGGCCCCGTACGCCCATGCTGGCATCGCTTAACTATAAATAATCAAAGAAACATTCAAACAGCGTTTTATGATATTACACCATTTAGTCACAAACCTCTAAGCTCTAAAAGCCCACAAAGATAACATTTTCGATTTATTAAAGTTTGTATGAAGTGAAACTTCATGGTTTCATAATTTCAAGTAGAAGATACATTTTTGTTGCAAACAAATTAAAATTAGTTTTCATTAACAATAAAAACTTTTTCGAATGAAGCTTTTTTGCAGTGGCGTAGCCAGCCCGCAAGTTTTGGTCCTGCTATGTTAATTTTATTCATTAACATTATTTTTGTCTTTAGAAATCTGTTGTTTTTACAATGAGTGAACACAGAAAATTTAACATAGCATGACCAAACTTCCAGGCTGGCTACTCCACTGCTTTTTCGTCAAATTTAAAGACTGTTTCGCCTGTGCTCTATTTTTCTCAATCGATCATGTGAAATATTTTTGCATCCTTATAGATTTAGTGCTCTCACCAAGGTCAGGAAATGAGTTAGGAGGAACTGAAGTATACATTGGTGGACCATGTTTTGATGCTAAACAGGTTATTGTTTGTCGATTCAACAAAACTATTGAGACCGGTGGTGAATACGTGAGTCCAGAGTTAGCAACTTGTATAACACCATCGTTTTACGTTGTTGGACGTATCCCAGTGGAGTTGTCGTTAGATGGTGGAGCAACATACAACTTTACTGGAACGTTTAGATCAAGTTAGTTTTAAGAATTGTTCGAATGTAAATTGAATAGTTTTTGTTTTGTAAAAAGGTTCATGCTTAGCTAAAATTAGCAAAATTCCTTTTCTGAATTTTTACTAAAGAGAGTTTTTTTTAGTTTCATTAGGAAGAATAAAACCAGACATCCAAGGGCTTGAAGTAAAGCATTGGGCTAATTCTTCCAAAACGATTTTGACTTGGAATAAATACGCAATCAACGCATCTCACATAAATATTGAAATTTTTCAATTTGATGATGTGGAGCATCGTCTTAAGCAAGACGTTCTAGCTACCTTTCAACATGTACCTAATTCAGGCAGATATCAACTTGATTTTAGTGAGAAAAGTATTGCTGCCAAATCAAGGTAAGAAACAATATTGGTTTTGGAGCTATATTTATTAAAACGTTGATCTTAGATCTCGCTTACTTTATAAGCTTGATAGACCTGCAAAGTTTTAGATGTTGATTAATGCTCTAAAATGTTGTTGTATTTTCAAATTTTGGCCTTATAGGAGTTGTTTTTTGTGTTTCTTTTTTAAATACTTTATAATTCCGATTGACGGAAAAGGTTAATGGTCATTTTCCTCTCTTTAAAGTCGATTGAAGCCAAAGTATTTCATATTTGTAATTAGTCAACATATCTTCATTGTTGTATTGATTGTTTTTGGATATAGTCATACATTGAGGGTAAGAAATTAGATTTTCAACCTCCTGGAAAAAAATTGAGATATTTACTGGTTTTCCTCTATCAAACAATATCGAAATCAAAATAAATGCTCGTATCTTATTTTTGTTATGGTCATAAAGACAACACATGATTATAAAGTACTCTTAGCATTATCTTTCGCTTACCAACAAAATTAATTGACTTTAAAAGTCTGATGAGTGTCCTGGAAGAAATGCACTGGGGGAAAATGTAGGGAGCACAAGCAAATTCATTTTGATGGGCGAAATTTTTTACGCTTGCAGAACTCTATCCAGATATTTTGCCTTTTGCTTTCCTCTTTGTTTTTTGGTTTAGGATATCAAAAAGAAATGTATTTCGTTTTCTTTGTCTTTTTTACTATCACTGTTGCAGCCATGCACCAGACAATACATGATTATAAATGTTCAAACTACTAAATGTTCCGCAACAATTTTTTTGTTTACTTGGTAGAGACGTCATGTATAATAATCTCGCATAAGTTTCCGTACGCAGTACGTTTAAAAATGGCTTACTAGTAATGTAACATTATCAAGAAACAGGCTTTCTCCTTGTTTATTAGGCTTCTTTCAACAGATTATTTTAAAACTTTATGATAGCATAAATAGTCAACAAAACAAAATTGGTAAAAAAAGTATACCGCCCTAATCCTTTAAAACAAGGAAGTTCATTTTTTTAAGAAATTGATTTTTTGCTTTGTTTGCGTTGACTCTCAACTATAAACACTTTCACACAGTAGCGGATCCAGCTTTAGGCAAAATAAATTATCACCGCTCATTTTAAATTTAAAACACCTTTATAACAAAGTCATTGGTTATAAATTTCTAAAGAATAAAAAATAACCAATCGATCCCTAAAGTAAGTTATTTTGGCTATAGCTAAATCTGCCCCTGCTTCACAATTAACTAATAAAGTGTTTAAACGATTTTGCATGATAACATAGTCAGGCAGACAGATAGGAAATAAACTTACCGTATCGAGGGGCAATTCTACTATGCCTTCAATTTGAGCTTCATAACCTAGTAATAATGTTTTAAGATGTCGGCAGTGCAAATATCTCTTGTTATCACTTGCTTTTGAGAAAGAAGGAAAACAAATACAAAATTACAACAAACGTCATAAAACTCTTTTATTTACTAAATGATCTTATTTTGAGCTGTTTGCAGCGAAGAAACGTCACCACCAGGTGAGCAATGGCCGACGAACCTTGTGCAATACCGCAAACACAGGAGGGGGGATGCTACAAGCGACGCAGATCGGCATAGGTTGTAAACCTCTCCCCCATGGACGTGATGAGATCGTCAGAAGCAGTTGTAAAAAAATTGTGAAACACAAAGAGAACATAGAGGACATTACCGAGAGTAGCAGCTCCGTCAGATGATGGCACTAACAGACCGACGATAGAAAGAGATGGTGAACAGACTCTCTTCACACCCACTTGACAAAAACAAGACAGATTAGGTGACGAAGTCACTGGAAAAGAAAAATGCCTCGTCCGTATGTAGATTTGTAATAAGACTATGGACCAACCACTGCTCCTGGAAAACACGAGGTGTCATGTGCCGTTGCCAAATCCTGATCATGAAACGACGAGTTAGCTGCATTGCAGTGACGAGGGTCGAAGGCAGAATATGATGGTCATCTGTCGTAATGTCAACAGATCTTGTGGAGCCGTAAATGATGGAGCATGACCCCAAGGACGGCAGTGAAGACGTTGGACATCTTGTCCGACAAACGGAAGCCAAAATGCAGCTGCTACTTTTAAGAAGCACGGACAAACGATTTTCTTGTATAAATGGTGGAAACCAGTCCTAAATACAGCAATCAGCGGGGTAGTCCGTAGTAATCGTCTTGCACTGTCCACAGAAGCACTGCGGGACCACTTTGGGTTATTAAATGATCTTTACAATGATATGTTAAAATTGATTTGGCAGGAAATTAGTGGAAATAATCCATCTTCAAAAGCATCAAAATGTAAGACATGACTATTGCTTCCAAAATGGTGTTCAAAATAATCCACTTGAAAAGTTCGATGTACAAATGCTCACTTAACGATATTTCAAACTGGATCAGATTAGAAATCTAACTTGTCATGTTTATCACTGCCAAATATGTCAATTTTGTGTCCATCATCCTCGTTTTGTATGACGTTTGTGCATGGACTGCGATTGCAGATGTCAGTACATTTAAGTCCATTCGCCATACATATGCACATATTGTTTTGACATCGTGACTTCTTGATACCACAGGCTAAAAATTCGAGTATGGAGTCAGGTGCTGGTTTCTGGCTCATCTAGTGACTTCTTAACTTCCCATTCACAAACATCCATCCACGGCCTTCTGGCGTTGGAGACAATTCATTACATGGCATGATAATGCTGATTTCCATGTACAAGTTACGTAATTTTCCCGTTTACAATGCAGTAGCAATTCATCTTTTGTTAGTGGAGGTTTATGCGATTCTGGGATCTTACTCTTGGTGCATAATTTTCTGTAGCGCGCTTCGTTAATATTCTGACAAGATTTAACACCATATAGTTCAGCAACCATTTCTTGAACTGTCGGAAAAAGCTTTTCATCAAAGTTGAAAACCTCACCAATTTTCTTAATCTTCAAAACACCAAAGAACGCACTTGTTGAATCACAACCAGTAACTGCATGACGAGCTGGCAAAGCGTTAGACATTACTTCATCAAGACTTTCGTAAATTTTTGAAACAGAAAGATTCTCTTCATTCCTTTTAATGCAAGTTCAACATATAAATTAGAGCAAATTCGCTCTTTGTAGTAGACAGCCAAGATTGCAACATCGCTGTCAACAGTTGAGATGCATATACCAGGACTGATATTGGTTTGAGTAGCATGCAGGCAACAAAGAAACATCTTAGTGTCTGCTTCTTTTCGGTTGGAGCGAAAGTTAACTTCTTTTCTTGACACTACTTTGTTATTTGCTACTTCTAGTTGATAACGTTCACTTTCAACGGTTACAAATACACTTCGTTCTGAGATTGTGGCTTTGAAGTGCTCGAGATCCGACCAATCTTGTAGAAAAAATTTCACAAGATCAACTTTGTTATTGCTATCACTTAGGTACTGTTTGAATTGCTTGGATCGTTTCTGGTCCCTTCTTGACAGCTGAACTCGAATGCTTTCTAAATTTGCAGGTCGTTTGCGTTCACTACCTTTTAAAGATTTGTCAAAATATTAGTCTGTGACAAAATATATGATTTTACCAGAACTAGAGTTGATGCGTTTCAAGACATATTCGGACATTTCGCCAAATGCTATTAAACGTACAGAGGCTAGCTTCTGAATGATGACCACACCATCAAATACTCTTACACAAGCAACTAGAAGGGAATCTACCATGGAATCTTCTACATCTTTCTCAACACTGTCCAGCAGCTTAGATTTAACAGCTTTTACATAACCTCCATCAGCAGTGGCTAAAGACCAAGGAAGAGGACCAAGAGAATAGGTGATCACTTCTCTCAACGAAACATCGCGCTTGCCACATATGACTAATAATCGAGCAAATAAATCACGATCCGCTTTTAATGTTAAGCTTTTATCTTTAACGACGCATGATTTCTTAATTTTGATCGCTGCAAACGTCTTTAGCATCATTTTCTGAATTGGTGCAAACAGATCTTCGTCGTTTGATTCAATTCGTTTCACAAAGAAGTTGCGTAGTGCTTCTTTCCCTTTTTTTCAGCATTAATCATGTCGTTCTTAATATCATCGCCTCATTGTAATCCAGAACTCAAAAGTAAGAGGCAAGTATTTTCTTTAAACGGTGTCCCCCACTCCGTAAGAAGATCATAACTGCGAAGAACGCAATTTTCGTCGTGCAGCATTCGCTTTCTTCCAAGATCTTTTCTCATAGATTTACCATCGGACATTCCTAGGAACTCATCCATCCTTGATTGACACTTTGCAGCAATATGACTGGTTAATACCCATCTTTCATCTGTTCCTTCTGATGTACTATAGCCAACAATTCCACCTGCAGATTTTTGCTCTTTGTTGATTGTTTGCTCTAAAGCTTGATCTGATTATATCATGTTGAATCTTCCTGGTGGCCTCCTGACAGAAATATGACCTGCTTCAAACTCTTGGTGTATAGCAGGATGTGTTTCTGGAAGCTTTTTCATAGTTACCAGGTATTTTGTCAGAAAGCGTGCGCAGTTGGGAAAGATCATAGCCAAACATCCAGGGAAGAATTTTTCTGTCGATTGCAGATGCAATTTCCATTTGCTCGGCTTGATTGATCCTGAAAAATAAAGTAATATCTGCACCATACTCAAAAATGACGACCACACAGATGCTGTTGGACCAAGAGAACCATTTAAGACAGAATCTTCATAGTTTTGTAACTCATCGAGCAGATTAGCGTGATGTAGGCTAAGGTTTTCTATGAGTTGCTTTGTTGGAGAGGAAAGGAATTTTTCTAACTCAACTGAGTTGACTAATCTTTTATAAAGTTCATTCGTCTGCTCTGTTTGGTTGTTTATCGAATGTTTAAAACTATCAATCATGAGTCATTTGAAAGCCTCGCACAGGTATTTTAGGATTCGCATTGCGTTGTTATAATGCTTTCCTCTAAGCATTTGGTCAACAAAAGATCCACCAAGAAGAATTGCCTCGATAACGATGTCGCAA